GAGCAGACACATAAAACACACACACACACACACACACACACACACACACACACACACACACACACACACACACACACACATAATTCAAAATACTCTATGTCAGCTGTTATTTGGTAAACTAACATGTGTACTAAACTACTGTGTACTAAGTTCCATGTAGTAATAGATCTGGATTCTAATTTTTACTTGCATATGAACAATATCCTAATGTGTGTACTATACTTATAGGTCACATTACATATTGTGGTGATTTGATACTCTCTAAAGCAATAGTAAGCGAACTATAGAATGTTAACATCCAACTATATATATATATATATACTGTATATATATATGAAAGCACTAAAAAAGCTACTAAGGAGGGTGAATAATACAGATTTAGATGAAAATCATAATTTGCTTTGCAGATTGTTATTGTGTAATGAAGGAAATAGGGCTCTAAAACAGTTGAAAACAAACATCACCACAGTATGAATGAAATTCATATTGTGCACAAAGTGATTATTCAAAAACATCTCCCTCTATCATGATTCATGAACTGATCGGAATAAAACTAATATGAAAAAAAGAAAGCTACACTCATTTCTATCACCTAAAACAGAATCACTGTAACACCTAAAGCAGTGGTTTTAAATCCTGGTCCTGGGGAACCACAGCTCTGCACATTTTTATTTCACTTATTCAACACACTAGATTCAGATCATGAGCTTGTTAGCTGAACTGAACTGTGTAAGATAAGAGAGACACACAAAATATGTAGAGGAATAGGTCCACATGACCAGTATTTCAAAGAATAGTTCACCAAAAATAAAAAAAAGAATCCACAAGTAATCCACACAAATCGCCTCAGGTTACGTATGTAACCCTAGTTCCTCGAGGGAATGAGACGCTGCGTCGAGAAACGCTAGGGGAACGCCGTTCAGCGTGACGGGCTCTGAATTTCGTGTGTAATCAGACCAATAGATGGGCGAGACGTCACGGCGGGTGACGTAATGACCAGGAGGCTATAAAAGCACGTGCGGTGAGACCAGCGTCAGCTCAAGGAGTGAAGCAAGCGCTGGCAGGGACGCCGGAAGGCTGGCACCGAGACGCAGCGTCTCGTTCCCTCGAGGAACTAGGGTTACATACGTAACCTGAGGCGTTCCTCTTCAGGAACTCGAGCTGCGGTTCAGCCATTTTCTCGGCGGGCCATTCGATATTCAGTTTGGCCACGGCACGAGTTACCACCTCCAAAAGCTCCTCATACTGGGGCGACTGAGGGGGCGAATCCTCGTCGACGCCCACCACATCAACCTCCTCGGAGGAAGACAGGCGGAGCGCCGAGCTCGCTCCCCGGGGGGGGAAGTAACTGCAGAACGGGCTTCCGATCCCGGTGAGCGAGCGCTGGATCTGGCGGGTGAGGACGAAGATAGGGACTCGCCCGTCTCCATTCCCTCCGCCAGTTCCAGCTGTGAACCCCATGAGCGTAATCGCCGTTCCGCCTCGGCGGAAGCGGGACCCGCACCGCAGGGAACACTTGTGAAGGCACCCTCAGCAAAGAGTGCCTTGCGAGAGCGGAGAATTCCAAGTATGAGTCACCATACTTGGCCACATGTCACTTCACTTCATATATATATATATATACAGGGTGTGATTAATTAACACCTAAAGATAGATGTTTGATTAAATTTTTTTTTTACAAAAGTACACTATGTAAAAAATAATAAATGCATCTTGTGAAAGAACATTGTAGCCGGAGCTACTTTGAGTACTTGGCATCCTGCTTGGTCTAAAATAGTCCCAATATAAACACTTATTATAGGCATACCTTAGTCATTCAGACAAAGACAAAAACACATTTTTTCACAACATACAGAACTACCACATATTGCAATAAGTTTGATTGCATCATATAATAATTGCTGTTAATAGTGTTCATCGTCTGTTTGATTACGTCTTTAATTGATTTTTCCGTACATTTCTGCCATATGTACATTAACTGACAGTCACCACTGATAAGCTACCACTAAATATTGTAGAAACTTAATTTGCTGGAAAGTTGCTTTGCAACGATTTGTATTGTGAAAAGCGCTATACAAATAAACTTGAATTGAATTGAATTTTAGTAGATGGATTCATGATGTACTCGCTCATATCAAGTTTAAATTTTGAACAAAAAAGTTACATAGTGTACCTTTGAAGTCTTATAGAAATTTACTGTTAAAAATTGCATTTTCAATAGCAAAATGAACCCATTTTATATAATTTATATAGACCCTAATTTGATAGTCATTTATGTTGTGATGTACAAAGGAATGTGAAAGACATGTGAGAATCATTACACTAAAGCAGAGGTCCCCAACCACTGGGTCGCGACCCACTACCGGGCCATGGAAGAATTGCTACCGGGTCGCAAGTACGTTCTGGGAAAAATGTGTATAGATATGACACTCTGTTAATTATTTATGTTAATGATTGTTCTAATTATTCTGTATTTTCTTTGTATGCCATTGATATGGAGTGGCAATTTGACAATTTCATGTTAAATAAGTAAATGAAAGATTGCTCTGATCTGTCACATTTGCACGGATCGCAGTTGATCCGTAATACGTACGGATGAGACCCTACCGTTCGGCACGCACGTGATTCGCAGATTAATTTGCCAATTTACACGTACAAGCAATTTTAAACCACAAGAAGATACGAAAGAGAGCTCAAATCGTTACTCACATGCTGTTCTTGCACACAATAAAAGCGCGCACAACCATAGAGACGGGTTTCAGACAGCACGGAAATACCGAGTTGCATATACATACACATACAATTAGCCTATGTCAAAAACCCTTCACAGCATTGTCATTCTCTGTGCTTTAAATATTTTTTTTTCTTGCTTATCCAAAAAATAGTCTGATCTGTGACGCAAAAAATAAAAACACAATATAATGCCTTGAACCACTATATAATGCTTGTCTAATACTATATAACAGCCTATACATACATATATATATATATATATATATATATATATTAGGCTTGTACAACAGCCAATAGTTAACTCACTCAAGACAAATAATTATTTTACAGAATGTTAATATCATGCTTTGTTATTTTACAGAGACATTCTCAGTAAGTTAAGTGGAAAGGTGTCTGGTGCAAGACAACATATTTTAATTAAACTAGACATCTTACATTTCTCAAGTGTCCGGCTTGTCTGTAAAGAAAAAAAAAAAAAACAGGAGAAGATTCAGTTGTATACATGCTATGCAGTAACAGATATATACCTATTTGTAGCTTAAAACTGCCAATTTACTATCTGTTTTCATGCTATTTGACACCATAGCTGTCTGGATGCTGACATTACCTCTATGACAGCTGGCAATATACAGCAAGCAATATATATTTCTGAGAAAATGTGTGTAAACCCTGTGGAATGATCTGTAATTTATGCATGAATGACTACTAAAACATTTTTTTTAAATACATTTAAGGAGTCATTCATGAGATTCTAAGGGTTTCAAAACATTTTCAAAACATTACTGTTCACAAGTAATAGAGTTACTAGTACTACAACTAATAATTAAAGCCAGCAAGAGTGGAGCCTGGAGTTTTGAACTGAGATAATGGGGGAAAGCAAAGCACATTTTGTTAATTAAAGTGCAAAATTGCAGTTACCTCCTCATCAGGTTCTTGATCTGAATCTGACTCCTTTGAGGAGAAAAAAGCAGCAAAAGAGGAAGAGATCGCCAGAAGGACAGAGGTACAAGAAAGACAGAAGGGGACAGAGAGAGCAGGCAAAGCAGTTATCACAGCAACAGAACATGTCTGAGGCCAGCCAGTGAGGTGTGGTGTTACAGGGGTTAAACGCAACAGAAATGCATAAAAGCATTTATCAGTTATTAACCCCAATACACTAAAATAATAATAATAATATTAAATAAGGTAATACAATGAAGAAATAAATGGAAAAGATGGCTCCAATGACGAGGCCTTGCAAATAACCACAACAATGAGTTGTGTAATAGACCAATTAAATTTTGTGGTGCTTCAACTATGTCTGATAAAGTTAATCACAAGTTAAAGTTTATATAAAACTATGTAGATACTGTGGTCTGAAACACTCATATAATGGCAACAAAATGAACATAATGCATGCAAACCTGCCATAAACAAACAATCAATCACAAAAAAAAAATATGAAATTTCACTGGACAATGCATTTTGCAGCTCTGTAATGTTAGTAATAGCATATGTCATGAACTTACCTTTGAGTAAGCTGGCAGGGTGATGTTTAAATTGCATATTGCACTATGAGTCAAAGTCCTATAATATCTCGGCTCTTTTGTGAAGGACAAACGTCCACAAGGCTCTTGAGTGTTGTCTCGTATCTACAAGAGATTCACCAAGTGTGCAGTTAAACCTTTGTATGGATCCAATTCTAATTCTTCAGATATATAAAGGCCTCATAGTTGACTTACTTTGATAAAAAGAGCCAGTCGATTCTCTTTAAAGGCATAGAAGCTGAAGATATGATGCTGGCCACTTTTTGTTAGAGGAACCAGGTTTCCAAAACAGTCTACATAGATTGGCTTTCCTTCTAATACCTAGGATGTAACATAATAACAGTCTCTATGATAAAAACCCATTCAAACATGTGTGTGTGTGTGTGTGTGTGTGTGTGTGTGTGTGTGTGGAGGTTGGTCAACCAGAATAGCTGATAACACAAGACTTATGACACAAATTAATCATTAGTCTAGTTGGGTCTAGTCCAGCAGTATGTCAATCTAAGTCATCTACCTAGTCTACACTGTAAAAAATGACCGTGAATTTAACGGTAAAAGACTCTAAAAATGCTACAGTAAAATCCTGTTAAATGGTTAACGGTAAATTCCCCTACTATATACAGTGAAAAACTGTATTGGACATTACATGTATTGGACATTAATTTTACGGTAGTATACCGTTTTTGGAAGTGAAAAAGACTGTATAATTTACAGTGAATAACCGTAAATTGACATTCCCAGAATTCCCTGCGTTACATTTCAAATTTGATGTTTTTTTGTTTAAATAACTATGTTTCTTCTTAGTTTTTTCTAATCAGTTTTGTATATTAGGGTTGTGTGTTACACCTAATGTTGTTAAATGAATGTTTATTGCATTATTTCAGTTTCATGTTTGTTACCATGATGGTGTTTGGTGTTTGTGTGAATGACACTGTGCACCTTCTATATATGTTATTATTTAAAAACTGCTTGCGATGGGCTTTGGTTCATCATGTGACTTTCACATCAGCATCTGCATTTGGTGGTTATCAGTGTATTACAAATGTACAAAATGGATTTCAGTACTTCAATAGGTTGGTTAACATTAACATTATATCAGTTAATGAAATTATGGTATTTAACTGTAAATTTAAGTAAAAAAAGTTGTTTAGCATGCAGTGTACAAGTATTAAAATAAATACAATTATTTTTTTAATAAAGTATTTTCTGTATTTAAAGAGAAATGTCTTTCAAGTTAAGACTCTGCCTACATCCAGTGTTTTAATCCCGTTACCTTACTAATAAATGGTGATTTCAATGAACTATTATTCTTGGTGGTCAACAAAAGTAATATAATTTCAGAGATGATAATTATAGCCAGTTCAACTGATTGCGAGATGATTCATTTGATCAGCTGTATGTCATCTTAAATTACCTGTAGTTTAAATGCTCCCTTACAAATATGAGACATGCTTGAAGCTGCTGTAAACCCGTAAGTGTAACAAAAGGGCAGTCTATTCTGTCAAGTTGCGCCAAGTTTCTACACTTTACAACACTTTACACTTAATTTTTACAGCTAACACAGCAGCTGTGAAAAACTATGTAGAATTCCAATTCCGAACAACAATTCCAATTAGTTAGATCAATTAACGTAAGTATTCATGGTATTCTGTTTATTAGGAACAACTCTTTATACGTGGTAAAAATCACTGCAAACAGCCCAATAAGGCTTTATATAAAAACTTTTCATATGTAGTTTCTTGGAATGCTCCAAATGATTGGAACCAGCTGATAATTACTTCCTTTCTGATAATAACTTCCTCCTTCCTTTGATGTGGTCTCTCAGCTTGTCGATCACATAAACCAGTCACATTTTTTCCAATAATAACGCGTTTAAAAGGTGTGTATAATTGAAATCACTTCATTGAAATAAACTCCAAACCAATTACCATTCAAGGAAAACTGGTTGGGAACCATGGTTTTAGACAATACTAAGAAATATCTGACTGGACTGCACTTAAGCATATTAACAAGAATCCAGAGTAGCAATACCTATGACTCACCTCCACATCTCGGCTACGTGCCACTTCTGTGAAGTGCTCTTGCTGCTCCAAAGTTTTGTCCATTTTATCACCAGTCATACAGAAACAGCGTAATCGAGCCTCAATAGGGTCATGTGTTTTGGCAAAGATGACGAATTTGGCCATGTAAGGTACACAGATGATCTCATGATACACCTGAGTGGCGAATTTCACTGACTCCTGCACCTGCCTGCAGTCTATAAGCCAGAATCTGATGATGAAAATATGGGATATATTAGTGCTTATTTTAATTAATTAATTAATTTATTCATTAATTAATGTATTGTTTGTATGTGGGCTTCAATGAGGATTGGCAGTTAGAACAGGAAAATTTGTCATTCAAAATCAAAGAATAAACTTGTTGCGTCTTTTCCAATCAAAAAGACAAAATAGTGTACATGAATTTTAACATATATTGAGTAGTGCTCCACCAGGCAATGCTTGTAGAAAAAATACCTGGCAGACACGTTTGTGGTGAAAGACACACAGTCATTGGTGAATGTTAATGGTGTAGTCCCAGTGATATCCTCCCATTGAGCAGGAGTGGTCCCACCTAAACATGCAAAAATCATCTTTGGTTTCAAAATTCAAACATGTTTTTAAAGTTAGCAACAATATTTTTGGTATTTTCAAAAGATTTTTAATGGTTTTCTTGATCTTTGTTTTGTTAGTCTCTGGTTTGTCTTCTTATATTTATTTTTATATCATGCCATTTTTTTTAAGTCGTCTTCCCCGCTGTAAACTGTACAGACTGTACAATCATCTTCCAAACAGTAATTTTAAGTGAAGATTCAGGAACTACAACTACAACTGCACATTCTAGACATATAATAGGAAGTCATGGCCTAATGGTTAGAGTCGGACTCGTAGCCCATAGGTTGCGAGTTCGAGTCTCAGGTCCGGCAGGAATTGAGTGGGGGGAGTGAATGTTCAGCGCTCTCTTCCACCTTCAATACCACGACTGGTGCCTTGAGCAAGGCACCAAACCCCCAACTGCTCCCCGGACGCCGCAGCATAAATGGCTGTGTGTTCGGGTGTGTGTTCATGGTGTGTGTGTGTTCACTGCTGTGTGTGTGCACTTAGGATGGGTTAAATGCAGAGCACTAATTCCTAGTATGGGTAACCATACTTGGCCACATGTCACGTCACTTTTTTTTATTATATAACCAGAAATTGGTAAGTCTTTTTCATTTCAAATCAGAAGTGCGTCATGATGCTCAGTACAAGTAGATTATTCTAGGCTCTACACAATGTCCTAAATGACTTAACCCATGCCACTGGTTGTAGTGCTACATTGTTACACTTAACCTATGAATGGCTTACTTCCTGTGTAGTTGTCTCTGCATATTGATTAAGAATTAATACGCTTTTAAGGCATATTGTGCAACCTATAGAATGAAGAGCATTTTGTTTTGTTTCTGTATATTCCTGTGTACTTTCTCACCTGTGATGCTGCATAGCAAACGTAATGTAGGAGTATCTCCACCTCCGAAGCCGCCAAGGATTGGGTCAGTGGAGCTCTTCGGGACAGGGATGGTCATGGTTATGGGTTTATGGAATTTCCTCCTCCGCGGTTCCAGAGTGACTATAGGGCTGAATGTGGCTTTATTACCCAAATTCTTCCTCACTACATCAACACACGTTGGTTGAGCCTGGCCAAAAAGCAAAGGCAATAATGAATACAACTATCACAATGATAGGTTCAGAGCAAATTAATAATTTAAAGTAACACATTGTATCTCATTGTCATCTGTTCAAAATGTGTTTAAATATTGTGACTGTTACCAACAGAATGCCTGTGATTGCTCATCAGCTCAATTACATAAGATAGCACTAAAATGTCATTTAAAAATAACTATTATGTAAATTTGACAACTTGTAACTTTTGTCTTAAACTTTTAAGTAAAAACAAAAAGAGAGTGGCACACTGAAAGTACATTGTACTATTTCTACTATAAATTTAATTACTGATTATTAAAACCAAGCTTAAACTCTGAAAACTAGTAGAAATCAAAAAAAATATTGTGACATTAAATGGATAGAAAAAAAGATGACTGTTATAACATTATTATAACTTTAACATTATTATAATGTTATATAAAAATGAACAGCAGCAACTGATAAATAAAATCAAATCGATAACTAAACTAAAATACAGCTGTGTGCACTATGGTTCTACATTGTAATATGTTTTATTTGATCTCCATGCTACCTGCAGGCCAACACGGATGCGTTTAGTGAGAGCTCCCTCTGGGAAGACAGCCTGTACTTGAGGGACCACTGTGCTACTCAGAATTCCACCTTCTGGACCAATGAGATTACTGTCCTGCTTAATTCGTGACACCACAGCAAAATACTGTGGAAAGTCCCGAGTGATAATGCGACAGATTCGCTTTCTCTCCAACTCTTCTGGTGGGTCCAGTCCTAAAAAAAATTAAGATGTAAACAATGTATAGGGCAGCCAATGAGAAAGGGACCATTCAAATGAGTGAAAATGGAAATAGTTTAGACCTGCGTGACTATGTTAGAAAGAAGGAAGGTTATCATTTGTATTGGTCATATTCATGTTATGCTTATATGTTGATTATGTGTTTGTTTGTTTTTTCTCACCCTCATTCATGCCGTTGAGGATCTGGTTGAGCTCTTCTTCTGTGTACTCACAATGATGCTCTTTCCAACTCTCTCCCGTTTCACTGCGTAAGATCACCAGCTCCCTCTCTTTTCCTCTTAGAGCCGCAAAGTGAGGGATCTCCACAATCACCAGCCTAACGCCCAGCAGGAAGTTAAAGAATGTTATTCATAAAAACATGTATAAATGTGTGTGTTTATGTGTTTTGAATAAAATACTTATGTACAAAGTCTATATATGTACTAAATCATCTACAGTTAGGCTAATATATTTTGCTCTGAAGTCACTGTAACAAATGGCCTTGAGAGGCTTGCTGTTTTAATATAATGAAACTGGCACAATAATATACAGAAATGGGAACGATAAATGTCCTATTATATTTACTTTTCTCTTGTTCAGTAATGGTAACTGCAAAGATCAGCAACAACTGGATCCAATAAAGTCTATATCATGTAGACTATACATAAATAATGTGTATTATATTGTCTTTTTATTGTTTTATTTCATTAGAATGTTAAAAAAACACACACAAAAAGAACATTTTTAAAAAGAAAGTTTATGAAAAACAAATGGACTTGGTTTTCTATTCGTTTTAACTTCAGAGCTGAAACACCTTGATATGCCCAGATATATCTTGATACAAGTCTAGATACTTGATTAAAATTCTACTGGACATGCCTTCAAGACTATGGCCTAAATAAGTGAAAACTTTTACAAACATACTATAACATAGCTGCCATATATAACAATATTCATGTTATGTTTATACCTAAAAATTCACACAACTGAAACTCATGCTGCAACAAAAGTAGCTCAGCAAATGGCAAAAAAAGAAAAGAAAAAAAGATGAGCATAAAAAGCTGCGTACAAACATTCATTTAAAGGAGCAAAAGGAAGCACATATAGATGACTTAGAACAACACACTTCACTACAAATAGTATGACTAGGGAATGGTTTTTTGGTCATGAATTTCCCAAACTTGTGAAATTTTGATGATGAAGTACACAAGTATATCTATAATTTGTTGATCAGTTTCAACAAGTTTGGAAACAATCATGAGTAATTACGACTAAAATAAAAAAAAATGACACTAGGGTGCACCTATGGTAACATACACTACTATACAGAGCCACTTTACAATAAAAGCAGAATACAACCAAATACAACACAATTAAAAAGGAAGATCGTGTGAAAGGAGAACGTAGGGAGTGGGACTGGCATCCATTGGTTGTTTTATGTGTCACTCCTACCCCAGAAATTTTGTCCCTGGTGGGCCCAGTTGCAGAATGCGGCTAACCAAACTCTCACCCTCATTCAGAGGGGGCGGGGCAGTAGGGAGGTGGAGCTTACTGTCATCCAATAGCAGCAGTGAGAAAAGAGAGCATAGGTGGCATATTGTCGAGTTTGCTTTGTAGATCCATTTCCATTTAGAATAGAGTTTTATTTTTTCTGACAAAAAAAGTCACATTTTAAATTCCTCTTTGTATTGAGTAGCTAGTAAGAGTACATTACCTTGTACCATTGTCTATAGGATTATGTAATACATGTGATTATTTTGACACTGCCTCATTAATTGTCAAATGCTAGTATTTTCTTCTTATTATATTATTATTATTATATATTATTTTGTTGGTGATATAAATGTAATCAGCAACTACTATTGTGATTATTTCCAAGTTAGGGTCAATGGTAAAGGCCAGTTCCCTTTCAGTCAGTCACGTTCTACGTTACGTCAGTCGTGACTGACGAATTGGGATCTCGCCTGAGAGCCCAATCCCCTTCGAGTGAAAACTAAACAAGCCAATGACAGTTGGCGTACGTGTTTCGCCAGGTGCACCCCGCCCCGCAGCGCGGGTATAAAAGGAGAGCGCGTGCAAACGCACATCAGCTTTTCGCTTCGGAGCTGAGCCTTCTACTAGGACGAATCTCCACGAGTGTCTGTAAAGAAACAGCCTAGCGTTGGTGTTATGGCGTGTCAGCGGGGGTTGTCTCTCTAAAAGAATGTTTCCAGTTTTCTAAAAGAGCAAATATCTAAAAGAGCTCCACGAGCGACGGGCGTCTTTTTAAAGACGGTCATGATCGCTGTGTCTCGTGCTTGGGCTTACAGCACGCTGAAGCAGCGCTCATGGATGAGTCATGTTCTCAGTGCGGGAACATGACCATCGCGAAGTTGCGGTCTAGATACCTCCTCATTAAACAGGGGGGGGGGGGGATCCCCCTTGCCATGCCCCGTTCTAGCTCCTCCGGTTCTCGGAGGGCTACTTCGGTTCATGGTCAGGGAGATCGGAGGATCACGGTGAGAGCTTCCCCGTCGAGTACGTCTCCGCTGGCCTCTCATTCCCCTAGCGCATCGCACCACCTGGGGTTCCCGGACGAGTTTGCTGGTTCCTCGGACAGGGCGGGGCCCAGCATCTCGTGCAGAGTGCAGGCAGATGACAGGATGTCGATCGCTGCATCGGAGGGTGAGCTAGGCTCTGGAGATGAGGATTCGGCTGCGCTGCCTCCGTCAGGAAGAGTGGCGTTGCCCGAGTCAGATCCAGAGCTGACCGCTATGCTTTCCCGGGCTGCTGAGAGTGTCGGGCTGCACTGGAGGCCTCCTCCTTCTCCCGAACGCTTGAGGCTGGACGACTGGTTCCTGGGGGCGCAAGCCGGTCGTCGGCAGCCGCCTCCGGTTCCATTCTTCCCGGAAGTGCATGAGGAGGTTACTAAGTCTTGGAAGGCACCTTTTTCTGCCTGAAACAGACTTGGTGCCTCCTCCGTCCTTACCACCCTCGACTGTGGGGCGGCCCAAGGGTATGTGGACATCCCCCCCAGTCTGCAGCTCTGCCCGCAAAGCGCCGCCGCCTGGAGGGGTGGTCCACGCCTTCTGTCCAGGACCTGTAAGTTCTCGTCCGCTCTGACGGCTAAGGCTTACAGTGCTGCTGGACAGGCCGTTTCCGCCCTGCACGCCATGGCCCTCCTGCAAGTCCACCAGGCCAAGGCGTTGAAGCAGTTGCACAAGGATGGTGCTGACCCAGGTGTGCTGCAGGAACTGCACACTGCGACGGACCTCCACACGGCCATCCCCTCTCCTTTCGCCGGTGGGCAGCAGGGTTCGGTTCAGGGACGCTACGCCTACTCACGAGCCTCCTGCCCAGCCGTGGAGCCAGGTATACCGGGTTTCAGTCACCCCGTTCTGCTGTCAGACCTTCAGCCTGTGGTCAGATCCTGCCATTCTTCGGATGGGGGTGTCCCTAGGGCAAGTATCCAGGCATGTTGTTGTGTCAACAGATGCCTACACCAGGGGCTGGGGTGCCATGTGCAATGGGAATGCAGCTGCGGGGCTCTGGTCGGGGCCCCGACTGCAGTGGCATATCAACTGCCTCGAGTTGCAAGCAGTATATAGCAGACATCTGTAGAGCTGCCGGCTGGGCGACGCCTAACATGTTTGCGAGATTCCATAATCTCCGTGTACAGCCCGTGTCCTCTTGTGTACCGGATACGTGTGCTTTTCTGCTTCTCAGTTCAGTTCCCCATGGAGTACTCTGTTGAAGTTCCTCCCGCACCCTCAGCGGTCAGGCGTGGCGGGGC